GGAGCGTCTCTCTATATGTTGGACCAATAGCCGTAAAGTTGGATAGTTGAATAGTTGTAGAATAGTAGAAAATTTGGCACGACTTAACGAGTTCTACACTACTGAAAAAAGGTTGGATTTGAAATAGAATCAATTGGACGAAAAGTTAATGAATATAATTTCAGTAAGAAAATATAAAAGATTAAGAATATTTTCAAGAGATCTTGCTTTGACTTAATATTGTCAAGAATTAATGCGTCAAGTTGAAGAAATTTAAAAATAAAACCTGGAGGAGAAAAATAATATTAACAATAAAAGGATTTGATAAACGAAGTATATTAATTCGTTGTTTATTTTGCATGACTATATCATTATAATCATGTTCAAAAGTTGATTCCGACATAGTTGATATATTTATTTTAAGTGGAAGAGTTAAGTTGGTTAGAATATATTGAAATCATTGATTAAGATTAAAAAATGCTTTATAAACATGATAATAATCAACATATTCGATCATTTCATCAAAAATTTCATTTGCTAAATCTTCAAAATGGGACCTAAATGAAATAAAAGATAGGAATTCCATGGAGAAAATAGATTTTAGGTAAGAAACTTGTTTGTATTGATTCTTATTATTGCCCTATTATTTTGTAATTTTCGTTTTTTATTGTTACTATTATTTGAACCGTCGTATTGTTTCGTTGGCGTTTTATTTGCACAACATCTAAATAGTACAAATAATGTTTATACTGACCGAAAAGATTGTTTTCAAAAAAGAATATATGTGCGCACATTTTATATGTATATAGAGATAGACAGTGAATAGTGAGAAAGAATGAATAAAATAACCTAGAATAGCCTTTTTTTATTCGCATCTTCTGATTTAATATTTTCATATTAGAAACACAAATGATTATTGAAAATGAAAAGAAATACGGGTCTATTACACATCATTGTTGTACTATGGATAATAGTCCGTTAACATTTACATCGTTTTTAAATTGATAACAATCTTGTAAAACGGATAGTGTAATTTCACAGTTATTAGAAGAACTTTTTAAATGATTTAGAAATTCAACATTTGCTTATAATGTGACAAGACTATATCAATATCAACTTAACTTCATATTTAATTGTACCTTTAAGAAAAATGAAATGAAACTTTTATATTAATGCGTATTTTTACAATCGATTCAACAATAACGATCGATCTAGGATTTAAGCTTAGTCTTTTTTTGTTATTGAGTGGAAACTCAGTCTATGAAATTCAAATGAACTGTTTTCAATTGAGAATAATTTCGAAGATGCTTTTAAATGATCCCTTTTGTCGTATGAAAATCATATTGAGTTTTATCAAAACAAATCATGGATTGTTGTTTAGCAAAAATTGAGAGAGACGATGAAATGATATTTGGTTTTTTAAAGATCAGATCATATGTCCTGTCTTCAGAGCAGAACAAGGCGAAATTATCTTTTATGAGTCATCTTCAAGGCAGGACAGGGTAGGGTAGAAAAACTTGTCCTGTGACGGTCTCTGACTTGTATTGTATTTATGATTTAGTTATAGAAAAGTGAATTTTTTTTCGATTCACACATGCTAACCATCATGGATCAAAGCTAATTATAAACAACAGAACGAGAGAGAGAGAGTAAAATTTGTTAGACCACGACATTAACTAGTAGTATGCTGACTACGAAATGACTTTACTATATTCATCGAGGGTTGAACTCAAAATGTACAGAGAAAGAAAGAGAATTAAAGAAGCCAAGTGAAATGGTATATATAAAGTCAGTGATAGGATGACATGATGTTTTTATTTGTAAAAGATTATTTTGCATTCGTTGGCTTCTTTTTCCGACGATCAACCCCAACAGCACCGACGCTCCTCTTCCATCTTCCAACGATCCTAATGTCTCAGCTCCAGCATACGATCAACATTTTCGTCCAATTTCCAGATCTCGAGTATAATCATTAGCCGGGGCTGGTTTCGTATGTTTTCTACAATAAAAATACACGAGTTTATATCACTCGAAAAATGAATAAATGCGTTCGGAGAGGTTTCTCGGAAACTCCATTAAATGCCAGCGTATGAGATATAGAAAGTATAGGAATGGATTTTTTCGAGCAAGGGTTGATAAGTGGCGCCAATATATTTTATGAATAGATGTTCAAATTCAAATACTATTGAATGATTAGCTGTACCAATTAATCAATATCGCCTATATTTCTATATCTCCTATATCTCTATATCTCATACACTAGCATTTAATGAAGTTTCGGAGGAAACTCTCAGAACGCATCATATGATATGGTGAGAACCACGAAAAGTTTTATAAGACGTCAGTGATTCTTGTTATATTGTTTTAGTCTTCAAATGACCTCGAATATCCAAAATTTAACTTAAAATTGATGGTACAAAAAACTCGTCGCATTTTTCTACATAGGATTACTAATGAAATATCTACGAACAGTTAGTGGCCCAAATTGCAGTGATTATACGCCCCTGTGCTTTACGAAGGAAAAGACGACGAGAAAAACAACTCTACTAATAAAGACGATGATTTATTTTTAGCAGTCTATTAACATTGAAGATAGGACTATCACCTAAACAATGATTAATGTAAAAACAAACCATTTGAAAAGTTTCAATGAAAAAAATCGATATTTATAATTGCTCTTGAATTCCTCTCAAACGATTCAAGATTTTTTTGCTTAAAATTTTCAAGTAAGAGTCGATTTCGGTTTTAGTACATTGTTTGAATATTTTATTCCTACTTTGAGAAAAAGAAAGATTTTTATGTTAAAAGAGCACTTCTAATTTTTCTGTTTCTTTTAAGAAAAACTGATTTCAAAAATTCTCCTTGAACAAAACATTAGGATTAACTTTAAATTATCCCATACTCTCTATTTCTTATATAACGGACCGTTCGAGATTCTTTAAAAGTCGTATGATCGATGAGTAAGCTGTAGATTCAGCCTATTATACTCAGACATGTGCCAAAAGCATTTTTCATTAGTATCAGTGATTTTTTTTTAAATTCCAATTCAAACAGCAGACGTCATTGTGAAAGCCGGGAGAGAGTGAACGAACCAGCGACGCTTAATTGTTCGAGGTGAGAAAACAAGCAGTGTAAAATTTGAAAAGATAGTATTTAAATAATTTGTTCGAAAACGGTGGTAAATGATCTAAAAATAATATAAAATATTTTTTGTAGTATAATAATATATTTTGTAGACGTTTCAATATATCATCAACACGCAATCATCATCTTCATCGTCGAGATTGTAAACAAAAATCAATAAAAAATAAGAGTCATGATATTGAAACGTTCAGTAACTGTAAGTATGGTAATGAGTTTAGTTATACTACAATATTTTTTTAAAACAATAGTCATCTAAATTTTTATCAGTAAATATTTAGAAAATAATTACTCTTGAATATTAATAAAAAAATAATAGAAAAAAAGACGCTTAATCGAAATATTTAGTTCTTAGATATTTCGAAACTATATAACATCTTTTCTCTAATTAAATTCCAGTATTAACAATGAAGCGACTTATTGTTTTAATTAAGATTGCATTCATGAGATTGAACCAGTTTGTTGAAAAACAAAGTAGTTTTTCAAGTTTGATCTTCAACTTAGATGCAAGATGAACGATGGTTAAACCACGGTTATCAAATCGACATTTTCTAGACCAGGAGATCACCGTAACAAGATCAAATAATTTACCAGGAGTCTTTTTCTCTTAATCAGGAGAAATAACAGAAGATTACTTTGGAAAAGTAGAAATCATATTGTGGCATTTTTTAGAAGAAAATGAGCGTTTTTGTTCAGAGAAGCTTTTTTTGCTTTCATCTATCTCAGGACTCATAGCTAAATTTGCTAACAAACGATATAAAAGTAGAAGAAATAGGATCACACATATTTTATATTATCATTCTTCTTATACTTTTTCATTGAGATATACAAAGAAAGTGAAAATAAGTTTAGTTATAGAATGAAATGAAGAAAGACAAAATAAACATGCCGAAAACAATAAACTATTTATTGTATCATGCGTGACACATTTGAAAATGAGAATTTGTTTCTAGTCATCGAATTTGTTTCAATACATCTAGTGTGTATAAGAGATATTGTGAAAGTTTCGTACAATTAAAATAATAGTTTCTCTTAATTTTAAATTCAGTATGAAAAAAGATCATATTTCGTTTTTTTTAATTTTTATACCACGAAAATTTCATGTAACTAAATAAGATTCACAAAATACATTTGCTATAGGTATAGAAATAGTAGATTGAACTAATTTTTGTAAATGAGGTCATTTTCACTATTAAGAAGACAATCCGGCAAATGCTCGTATCTGATAAATGAATTTGTCTTATAATCTTTGTGAAATCTAACATTCTTTACGTACTAAATTAAAAATTTTAGTTTTAGACAAAAAAGAAGCAAAGACAAGGAGAAGAAGTTAATTTTCTTATCTATTGCTGAGCTAATCTAATCGAAAAAAGGTCTTTTTTTTTTCTTTTCTTCTTGTTAAAACACGTTGCTAGGAGTGGAAATGCAGAAAAAATAACAAAACTGAAGACAACAGGAGAAAATTGTCAAAAATAATTCCTGATATCAAGAGAAAGAGTCATTTGGCCAGTATTCTACTGGTGAAATCAGGAATTTTGATAACACTGAATTAAGCACTTAATGCAAGACTTACAGAAATAAAAAATTATGTTTGTTTTAGGAGATTAACCAAGAATAATCTTCTTTAAAAACGTGAGAAGAATTCCATCAATTCATCTCATTATTTATTATTTAAAAACTCCCACAGAAATTACTTTTATTTGAACCGTTTAATCGAGAACAATTTATTGAATTTTTCTGTAGTTGAGTAAAAACAGTTTAACATGATAAAATGAGTACAAAAATTGATCATTAGAAAATAATATTTGATGAATGAATTTTTTGTGTTTTGATAATTGTTTTATAATAAAAAAGATCTATGAAATTATAAAAGATATATAATGATAATAAGTAAACAAAATTTATTTTCTATTTTAGCTTCACTTGATCAACATGTATCAGTAATTGAAAAAACAAATTCAAATGAAATAACTCAAAATATTAATTTGTAAGTCTAATTTATTGAAACCGAATGTTTCGGTTTTTTACATTTAAAAAAAACGAAAAAAAAATTCTTTAAGGGATATTTTAGGTTGTAATTAATATATTTAAGATGATATCATACATCCAGCAATACGTTATACCAGATTTTAGCACACAAAAAAGAATTTATTTTCTCTTAGATAACAGATTATATCATAGTGATTGTTGTTACTCTTTCAATTACTATTAGTATAGTATTGCTGTTTTTATTAAAATAATTAAAACAGATTCTTTTTTAATTTTTACTTATTATTAGACTGATTTTTCTTGATTCATTCTATCCTTATTAACTTATAATAATTAATAGAAAAGGTTGAAACAAGGCGAGAAGAAGAGATTTAGGAAGTAGTGACTCGACAAGCTAACTCTAATGCCTTTTTGCTTTTTTAATTTACTTCATCTTTATTTCTGAAAAACCTTTCTGCACACTTCCTATGGAATTAATATGTGAGACTCTATGGTTGATCCAGAAGCCTTTTATTGAATAATATTCACTTATGTCTTCTCTTGTCATTCATACAACTGAAATGAACAGTCCAGGCCATTAGTACCTAATACTCAATCATTGTCTAAAATGTTCACTTCAGTTGTTTGAATGAATAAAGAAGACATAAGTAAACAATGTTCAATAAAAAGCTTGTAGAGATTGCGAGAGGTTCGCTGGAGAAAAAAATCAATTTTTAATAATCAATCATCAAGCTTGGTACATGTCTAAGTATATAAGTATGATCTTTAAGACTTTGTTCAAAAAGATCAGAGTGAGGCAGATATATTTTTTACATGGTGAGATAATATAAGAAGTTTTCGAAGCAAATTGAACCAAGGCAGTTATGTCTTGTCACGTTTTGATTTCTGCTTAGTATAACAAATTAAGATACTTTATACAAATATTTCCTTTTCTCTTAGTTTGTACTTTCAATAATATATTGATTTTGATTTTCTTTCAAAATTCAATTTGTTTCAATGACATATGAAATAGTCAAAAATGTTATAAAAATAAACTTTTCTAAAATGGCAAAATAATTATTTCATTCTGACATACATTATTTTATATGGATATTAAAAAATAATTAAAAAACAAAAACAATGAACAGTATTGCCTTAAAAGATTAAGAAATAGTATTTATCAAAGGAGTTATATATACGAGAATAAATCTATTAAAAATTTTGCTTAATGAAATTGAATCATCTCAAATATGATAACTACTCTGTAAAAAAAAGGAAAAGCAATAAGTTTTTTTTTATTAAAATACAATGTGATCTATTAGTAAATCACATCACTTCGAATGTGTTAATATTTTTTTTAACATGAGTTATTGTTATTCAATTGAAAATTTTGACTAATTGTCTAAATTACACTTAACAACAAAGGCTAATCTCTTTTAAAATGTTTTTTGATTTTAATTATTTTGTACAAATATTTATTACAGAAAGATATATTCACTATTTCTGTGATCATTGAACTATCATCCTATTAAATTCATCATTGGATTAATAATTAATATAAAATAATAACTAAATTTTGCATTACGTTTAAGAAAGGATATGTTGATAATGAGAACAAAGAAATGTTGATTTTCGTAAGAAATTTTTAATCTAAAAAAAGACTTTCATTAAAGAAAAAAAAATCATATTTCATTAATCAGTATTTGCTCTTTAAATTTGATTGTTCTATTATATAAAATAGAAAAATAATTATTAAATAGAAAATTAAAATATCGTTTTTTTTTAATAATGAATTAATTTTTTTTTCTGCTTTAGATTAAATATCAATGAGAATAGTTTATCATCGAAAACAAATGAAAATATTAACAAATCAAATATTCCTTTAACAACAACAGCCCATGTCGCGAATACTGGAGCACTTTTAACGGGAAATCGCCGATTTTAATTCGTACCACGATTTATTATCAATTTCGGCGGTAAATCGCGGTTCATCAATAATTTTTCCGGTGAACAAGAGCAAATGAATAGTTGCAGAACAAAGAAAAGTCGTATAAATATAGGTACATGTGCGTGTCTATTGCATCACTTATTCATTTTGTTTGCTTGACTAGAGAAAAGAATCAATATAATGATAACAACGTCCAGTTAAGAATTAATTTTTTTATATTTAACTTTTAAATATTTTTTTTTTTGATTAATTCTTTTTAAATTTATTAAATTAATTTTATTTAAGAGAGGATCCACTAGCCCATATAGAATTCATGTCATATGGTGAAAATTTAAATTTGAATCATGTGGAGAAACCTCTGTAGCCAGGTTTTTAGATCAAACAAAAAAAATTTCACCGAGATATAAGATTTGAAAAAAAAAAGCTTTTTCCTATTTTGCTAAAATCAAGGCATGTTTTCTTTGGCTTTTTTCGAAGTCATTTTGAGTTCAATTCTTTCTAGTAAGGTCTCATTTGAAAGAGCAAAGAAAACTGAACAAGATAGAATCCTTTTCACATCTCGAACATTATATTTAAGGATCCAAAATTTTCAAAAACCTAAACTGCAATACTTATGTTTTGCAGTTGTCGCTAAAAATCAAGATGCTAGAGTTTTTGCACCATAAATTTTAGAAGCCTATCTTGTAGAGAATAAAATTCTCTGCAGGATGCACTATAGGTTGTGTCGTTAGAAGGCAGGAAATGTACTCAAAAATGCAACATACTGATGATGATTACTGAGATAAAAAAATTTGAAAATTCAGAAATTGTTTTTTTCGATTTTCAATGATAAATACGAGCGAAACTAAGGTTAAGCAGGTTAAAGGTCGCTTGACGAAGAGTTTTGAAATATGTTCTCAATCAATTGTGCAAACTGCTGCCGTTTCTTTATCAGACATTATTATGATACACGAGAATACCAAAATGCATATCATCTCTTTTCTTCTTTCTGTTCTCGTTCGTTGAAGCTTGACATTATCATATCTAGTTGATGTGATTTTCTCCTCTCTCGCTTCCTGACGACAAGTATGCTGATATATTTAGCGTAAAAAGTGTGTTTCTTCTCTTCACCTCGTCTGCTTGTTGCATGAATAGATGAACTATTAACTGTGAGCTTATCTGATCTCTTCATTCAGTTATTTTGAACGATACGGCATAAAAAAAGGAATAATGATTGAGTGGGGAAGAGATTGATATGCACTACATTCACACACTCACATAATAACTATTTTCCTCTTATCCATATTCTCTTGATGAGAGAAATCGATGAACTGTGGCTAAATAAAAAAGACAGAATGAAAAGCAACAACAAGAGATGATAAAAAGAGAGAGAGAGAGAGAGATAGAAACTATCAATCATAATGTGAACGTCTCGTAATTAAATTATTACTTATTGTTGTGATACTCAATCGCTTTATTTCACCATGACTGCTTGGTTATTTTTCGTCATGCTGTCCGAATGGCTGAAAAGGTGATCTGTTTGGTACATGATGATGAGGGCGATTGAGACGAGAATAATACTCTCTCATGTGCCAAGTTGATCGACAAAAGAAGTTGAACAAACCACAGTTTCCAAAGGCGCGTACGGAAGCTCAATCCATACTGTATCGTGCCAATATCGATGAAGAATCGAAGGTCGATTTGAATAAAACATTCATTTGTGGTCGTCATTTTAATCGATTATTCGCTGAATTTAATCCGAAGAAGCACAAATAGTGTTATACTTGTGCTTTGCTGTGTGGAATGTCTCCTCCAAGTACGAAGCAATTGCGACAAATTAATCGTAAATATACGCTATGTATTCATGCCAAACTTCCATCTCAAACATTCGTACGTCGAATTTATTTGTTAGACCTGTCGTAACGGCTACGATGATTTCAGACAGACTTATCTCTCGGATCGAATATCACGATTTATTGAAAGACGTAAGAATCAACAGCGGAGCACTACTACTGATGCACAAACAGTAGATGAGGATGATGACGATACGACAGAAACATCAAGCGAAAGGGCTCGGACGCCGATACAAACGAAGATTTTCTGCTGGGTACCGATAAGGAATCGACGCAAGCGATTCGTGAAGCTCTCAATCGCTTGTTGGATCTATGTAGCAACAAGAATCGAGCATGAGTGACACATAAGTATCGCGAGTTAACGGGGGAAAATCGTCTCAACTATCTATCACGTGCTCCTTCAATTGTCAAGAGTATAATAAGCGTTATTGCTCAGAATGATGTTAATGAGTTGGAGCATGATTTGTTTGGTCATGAAGGTGACAACAATATGATCAAACTCGATGATCATTTTCTTTCAGCCATGCAAGACGTATTGGAGGCCTACAAGAACGTCGAATCGTTCGTGACGCGTCGTGAAATTCTCTCAATCGTCGTACCTCAACTCAGTTTTAAATTAATAGAATTTTTTTATCTGGCCTCACTTCGGACCGCTTCACGGCTGCTCGTAAACACGCAGTCGGGTTCGACCATGGTGCCTCCATCGATCAGTCGCCCGCCATGATACAATGCTTTGAATGCGACCATGTCGAGCATTTTATCGAATTTATCACGTCCGAATACGTCTACACGGATCTCCCGTTTGGTGAGCGCTTTCTGAATCAATCCAATGGAAACAAAGTATTCATACCAGACACTATTCGAAATATGATTCCGACGCGTATTATACGGCAATCTTATATTTTTTGCGAAAAAAATTCGCCGGGTTTCCGTCCATTAGGACAGAGCAGCCTATACTCGTTACTCAGCGTTGGTAAAGCATCGACACGCAAATCCATGCAAGGCACTAATTATTTTGCCGTTGATGCAGGCAAGGCATTTGACTCAATTGAAAAACTGATTGATGGACTTCATCTTGACATGGAGAAATATCGCCGTTTGACCGAGAATCTGAAGCGACACCGATAGCACTTAAAATCCGATTACACGGTGCATATCAACAAATTGTCTACTGTAGGCGACCATTGTGCAACATTTGCACTGTCAGACAACGACTTTCGGCAGATGTGCGATCACAAGCACAATGACATATGTGACGAGTGTCTCAATCATCGAGTCAATTTTGAAGGGATTTAACACGCAATCGATAACTCTGTTAATAACAAACAAGTGTCAGCTCGATTGCTAGCCAAGCTCATATCATATCAAGAGGTGGTCGACGCTTGGAAATGCCATTTTCTTCGCTCTATCAATCAGATTTCTTTGGCAAACGCGGCCTCAGTTGGCATATCAGTGTGATTATGCGTGGGCATGAACAATCAATTACCAACACTGATGAGACTATTAATGAGGATACGTTGGCAATAGATGAAAACTTATATAGCTACCCTATTATCGTTCATGTATTCGATCATTTCGTGCAGAACAGCGAGGGTGTCGTAGCCATTTTACACGATGTTCTAATTCACACTAAACGTGTTGATGGTAGCATAAAAAAAATATATATATTCGCTCCAATAACACCGACTGCTATCACTCGACACAAACTATTCTCTTGCTCTCTCAAATCTCGCATGACAGTAAAATTCAAATTCGCTGCTTAGACTTTTGTGACTCTCAAGGAGGTAAAGAACCTTTTGACCGATATGCAGCCGTGATCAAGTTGTATGTACACCGCTTCCTCGACGAAAAGCATAATGTGACCACTTCAGCAAAATTTGTTAAAGCCGCCTACTTTAATAGAGGCATTAGAGGAGTTTACACATATGAGCCCCGATTGGGGAAACTGGCCGACGATGCTTCTTCTCAACTCGCCAAAATCAATCTCTTCAATAATTTGTCGCTCAAACCGTTCGGTGTTCGTGGAAAGTTGGCGATGGTGAACTCATTCTATTTTCAAAGACAGAACGATCAGACAATATTAGCACTCTTGTATGCCCTAATATACCAAACAGAAAAAACGTCTTATTCGCAACAACACAAGTCAAGAAAAAACAATATGATTTATCAAAACAATCAACTGGCATTCAGAAGAACATCTATGTAAGCCGTCTATTCGAATGCTATGAAGAAGGATGTGTCAAGAAGTTTTTGGACCTAGGAAATCTCGTCAACCATCTCGTTGTCGAAAAACATCAATGTCTACTAGAACGCCTTTCATTAAACGATGCCTGAATGCAGATTTACGTGTCGAAACCAGAAAGAGTCAGTCAGAAAGAGTTTGTCTCGATTGCTCTTCAAAATATCACCAGTACTACCAATCAAGATGCAATTAGACTCAACTTAATCGATGGTCGGACACTTCCGAAACCCGGAAAAATCACACGACTTACCTCGAAACAAATTGAATATTTGACCAACAAATTGAACGATGGTGTGAAGAATAACATACGATGAAACCAGAAGCTGTGGTCGCTGAAATAGAGTGTCTCACGGACAAGAGCGTCTTCGTCTTTGCTGAAAATGAATTTCTGAAAGCTAATCAAATTCGCAGTTACTTCTCCCGGCTCAAATCGAATCGGTTGAAGCTCAATGTCGAAGATTGCGTCGATAGAGATGTCGAAGCATTCAAAGAAGAGAAAGCCATCGACGAAGCAGTTCAACGGCGACAATTTCGGCACCAGGCTCACAATATGGACCAACTCGAACGCGCAATGTCCCCCAAACGAGCTACTTGATCATTGGAAATACCAGCAAAACGATATTCCTCACGCAACAAAAAACTTTCATGATTTTTTTCAATAAAATTGATTCCGAGCATAATTCAAAACTCTTCGTCAAGCGACCTTCGACCTGCTTAACCTTAGTTTCGCTCATATTTATCATCGAAAACCAAAAACAATTTCAAAATTTTGAAATTTTGAAATTTTGATCTCAGTAATCATCATCAGTATGTTGCATTTTTGAGTACATTGCTCACTTTCCAACGACACAACCTATAGTGCATCTTGTAGAGAATAAAGTTCTCTGCAAGATAGGCTTCTAAAATTTCTGGTGCAGAAACTCTAGCATCTCGATTTTTAGCGAAAAGTGCAAAACGAAATTTTACCTTTTGGGTTTTTGAAATTTTGGGATCCTTCAATAAAATGTTCGAGATGTGAAAATGATTCTATCTTGTTCAGTTTTTTTTTTGCTCTTTCAAATGAGACCTTACTAGAAAGAATTGAACTCAAAATGACTTAGAAAAAAGCAAAAGAAAACATGCCTTGATTTTAGCAAAATAGGAAAAAAGCTATTTTTTTTCAAATCTCATATCTCGGTCAAATTCTTTTTGTTTGATCTAAAAACCTGGCTACAGAGGTTTTTCCACATGATCTATCAAATGAGCATAGTGAGATTCAAATTTCAATTTTCACCATATGATACCCCTATGGCAGAATGCTGGCTTCTCTTATGAACCCTCTCTTAAGATTACTGTTTTTAACAAAAAAGAAATTATTAGGCACATTGCATGTGATCATTTTTCTGTTCGCTGAATAGAACAGTTTTCATCTAAAACTATTGAGAGATTTCCATCTTCTGTAAATGCTTCTTTTGGATAATGTTCTTTTTTTACTGAGTAATAAACATTTCTAGTAATTTTTTTTGCTTTTGTTCAACCAAGAAAATAATGTCACAATGGAATTTAAATGATCGCAGGTGAAATTGTAACAATATCAATAAGATTTGATATTGGTCGATATTGGCATTGAATGGTATTAGTATTAGTACTGGCTAGCGGTCTGCGGGACAGTCCCGTTTCGTGGGACAATCGGAGCTGTCCCGAAAATTTTCTGAACGGGACATTCAGGCTCGAGGCATTTTAAAAAAGTTCGAGATGGGACAAACGGGATTAGGGACATTTTGAAAAATATTAGAACGCATCGTAAATATTTAAATTCTTATTTCTAATGAATCTTTTAATATTGGAATAAATAATACAAAAAGTAAAAGAAAATTTTACGGAATGTTTTTAAAATCGTTAATTGCCATTCTCTTCGTGACTTCTTTTCACGTCTATTGCAGTTTAGGCACATTGTCTGATGTAATTAGCGCATTATGCATATGAATCAGTATATGAACGGGTGTGAGGTGTACCTGAACTACAGTTATACCTCAAATCAATCTATTTTCTTTGGGATTTCGGCTACAGAGGAATAAATTTTCTTTGATATTCGAACATTTTACCTCATAAATAGGAAAATATTAATTTTATTTGTATTGAAACATGTATGCCGTTCAGTATTATGTTGTCGATAATATTGTAAAGTTGATCCTTTCAGAAATACTTGTTGCTTCTACTGGATAATAGCCAAAGATAATTCTATCTAATATACACACATATATACATATTTTTATGGAAGTGAGTACGCTCACTCAGATAGGTATAATCCTGATATAAGACTGTAATATCACTATACTATAGTCTTATCTGTTCATTGTAGCTCTCTGCTTTTTTGGAGTCTCTCTCTCTGTGTTGGGAAGAGGGAGTGCGACTCTCTATGTTAGGGAGTGCATCTCTCTATGCTGGGATGGGATGTCTCTCTGTCTATGCTGGGGGAGAAGGGGACGGGTTCTCTATATATGTTGGACCAATAATCGTAAAGACAGATAGTTGAATAGTCGTAGAATAGTAGAAAAGTTGGCAAGACTCAACTAGGTCTACGCTACTGTATCTGTTCATTGTACTTATCAGAGTGCACACAACCGCTTCCTAATTAATACTATTGAATGCATATTTTACATTGCCAAACTACATCACATTGTTTTATTTGGAAGTCTTTCTTTGTTTCTTTTTTCTTTGTTTCGACCAATTCATTCATTCATACATGAACCAATGATGGTGCTCTTGAAATGATATAAAAAATGTGCATGTATCAAAATAATAGAAAGAATCAAACAAAGAAAAAAAAGAATGTTTCTTTTTAACTAAATGGCATTGTTTTATAAGGACAAAAATTTTATCAGTTCGCCAATGCTGATTTTATTGAATCCATTGACAAATGACAAGTAGAACAAAGTCATTTGACAAAACATGATTGTCGAACCTGATATTCAAGCAGAATTTGAACGAAATCTTTTATGGAAACATTCGTAGCCAAGATGTTTTCTGGCGCTAATTGTCACAGTAGAAATTATACTTGCAGTGGTAAAATTAGTTTTTTCTCTGAATACATTTTCTATATGGAATCTTGAATTAATATTAGGCTATTGCTGTAAAGGAAATTTTCAATATTCTCGTTGATTTTTGGCATACAAATATTTTTGGTGGTATTTGGGCATCGATTATACTTCTAATTAATTGGATTTTAATCTTTGTTCATGGTATTTAATTGAGTGTAATTAACATTTTCATAAATTTTCCTTTTTTCTTTTTTTAGTATGTTGTACAACAACAGTTGGCGAATCAACATGTTCATTTGTTTGGCATTGGATAACATTAGTAGCTCTTGGTGTAGTTATTGCATTTGATATTGTATCTATTGTTAATCCATATACATGTCTTTTAACATCAACATGTTCAACATAATCACAATTAACATCAATAAATTATATTATACAAAAGATTCCACAATTTTCAAGTTATACAATTTATGATTCAAAAAAATTCTTGCTTGAAATTCAAGTTGGTTGTACTGGTCTAGTCTTTATTTTAACAATCATTTATATTATTATTTTTATTGTATGTAGAATAAAATTTAGTAAACGTGATACTACAGTTTATCCAATAATGAATACTCATACTCCTAAATGTGGTTTACGAGTTGCTCAAGCACCACCAATTCCAAATGGAAATCAACCGTATCTTGTTCGTTATCCACCTAATTAATATTTAAATAAAATATGTTATATTTTAATTTTTTACAAAATAAAAAAAAGAATCAAACAATGTTTTGTTTATTGTCGATAGTATTTTATTTCTGTTCGTTTGCAGATTGTTGAATAACAATAAAAAATAAATGTGTGAAATTTAATCGTAAACAGCTCAAATTTTTTCACATTCTTAATACATTCGCACGTATTTTTATCAGAATATTATATACATTCAAACGATTCCATAGTAAAGCAAGTCTGAAGAAAGTCAATACAAAAACAAACTAAGAATCATTATGAGTACATAGTAGAATCGGCAGCTGTGTCTATTAGTTCGCATCGAACCAATTGCAGATATACTGATATTCTACTATATAAGAACAGAAAAAAACAACTGTATAGTAAAAAGGGAACCTATTGGCCGTATTCTCCGTTCATTGGTAACATATTTATATCTACACTTCCCCGCTGTTCAGTGAGTTATGACCTGTTTGTTGTTCTCCTTTTTTTCTCGCGTTCTGACAAGCAACTATTCTTTTTTTTTTCAGTGACCGCATCACATTCATAAATATATATTTACAAGAGAACACGACAAGAAAAAAAACGCGCTGTATTAATGCGCACATGCATGGGACAAAAAATACGTTCACTTTCCTTGATACATATGACCTTGTGATTAACAACGAATAAAAATTACCTCATGAATTTCATGAGTTTATAGCAGACATGAAATCTTTACAATCAATATATAATAATGATTTATTTCAATTACTTATTATGACGTCTCTTGTATGTGGATTAGAATTTTGTACTGCATCTGCATTTACTTATATTCCACCAATTTTACTCAAAGCAGGAGTTTCAGAATCATTAATGACATGGTTAATGGGTTGTGGTCCATTATTAGGATTTCTTTTTTCTCCTGTTGTTGGTCATGCAAGTGATCGTTGTCGATCTCGTTATGGTAAACGTCGTCCATTTATACTCGGTTTTTGCTTTACAATTATTTTTTGTCTTATGTTAATTCCACAAAGTGAAGCGATTGGTAAAACGATTAAAAAAAACAAAAGTTCGATTTAATTTCTTTTGAAATATTATTATTTTAGGTGAACTTCTTCATGCACCAAAACTTGGTCTTTATTTATTAGTTATTACTTGTGTTCTATTCGATTTTTCTGCTCAAGGTTGTTTAAATCCATGTGAATCATTAATTTACGATGTATGTAAAGGTACCCCTCAAGAAAACTCCTGTTTTTTTGTGTATTCATTCATGACATCATTTGGTAAACAAAAAAAAAAAACTACGAATTAAAAAAAAAAGTAATAACAAAAATGTTTTTTTTTGTGTAGGTGGATGTTTAGGTTATTTAATAACAGCAACAGATTGGACTGAATCATTTCTTAGTAATTATTTACAAGGACAAGAAAAATTGACTTTTGTTGTTATATTATTATTTTTTACTATAACACTTTGTTGTACTTTAATCACAGCTAATGAAAAAGTTTACGATAGTCTTGATGAACAAATATCACTTACTGATACACAAATCATACATAGTATATTTCCTATTGAATTTTTAAAATATGTTTTTTATACAATATCAAATTCCGTTAAAACTATTATAACAATGCCATTTGTTTTACGTCGTTTAACACTTGCTGAGTGTTGTTCATGGTGTGTAAATTTGTTTCTTTTTGTCATTGTTGTTTGAAATTATTTTATTTTCATGAAATATTTAGGTCGGCTATAATGACATTTAATTTATTTTTTACTGATTTTGTTGGGCAAACTGTTTATGAGGGTGACCCAAGTGCTGATGAATTATCTATTGAACGTATTAAATATGACCAAGGTGTACGTGCTGCTTCGTACGGTTTATTATTTCATTGTATCGTTGGTGCTCTTTATGCTCCTCTACTTAAACGATTAATTAATCAATTTGGTATTCATTTAACATTTTCATTTAGTATGTTTATTTTTGCTTTATCTATGCTTGTTATGTATTTTTCAAGAAATATAATTATTGTTAATATATTGGCATCACTATCTGGTCTTGGTATGGCATCATTAACATCCATACCTTATACCCTTGTTATGACATATCATGCTAATCGAGAAGTAATAATTTAAATTTTCAAAAAAAAAACTTTCATATTGATTTTATTGTTGGAAATTTTAGATTTTCTTTGCAGATAACTCAGTTATACAAACACGTGGCATTGGTACTATTTTAGGTATACTTGACAGTACTTATTTTGCTTCACAAATTATTTCATCTATTATTATGGGTTATATTATGTTTGTATTTCAATCGACACTTTCATATATTGCAACAAGTTTTATTCTTGCTCTTCTTTCACTTTGGTTTATAAATCGAATTGTGATAAATCGACATCAACTACAAGAGTTGATGAAAATCGATAGACAATAAATAATTGTTTCTTATGTGATATATATATTTATTTATTTATATAGAAAAGGGTATAGAGAAAATCAAAATAACTTTTGAATGATATGCATATGATTGATTAACAAAAAAAAGTGGCAATTGTGATTTTGATTTATGTTAATGAATATGTATGCAATTTAATGTTTGCTATTCGAAAATATTGATTAGTTAGTGTTTATATATCAAGGAGAAAAACGTCTCAAACTATTGGATGACATTCAAGTTTCACTTGCCTTCGAAATACAATGTGAAGCTTCGCATGTTGATTATGGAGAACTTGTGAATTCGTAAACAATGATTATCTTTTTAATATATTGAGTATGAAATACTTGTCTTTGACAGCTGTTTTGAGTTTATTCGAGTGCATTTTCTTTCTATTATTATCATCATCGAAAAAGTTACGTTTCGATCAAGCAGCTGATCGTAGTCAGAGAAAAGGAAAAAGTCGTCATTGTGATAAGCATTACTAGAAGAACTCAGGTAGATATAAGTTTGAAATAAAAAAAAAACAAAGCCCACAAAACTTTGTCGTTTTGTAAGAAAATGAGCATTCTAATAACGATCTGGAGGCCGAATTTTTCTAATTCTGATCGTTTCCGGGCAGAACCAGCTACTGAATTTATAATTCGAAGTTCTTATTATTTTTCCGAGCTTTCCAACCGAAAATAGTCCATATTTTTTCACTTGAGAAGTCATTGTCGAGATTTTTATTCTTTGATTGAACGCATATTGTGCGTCTTTTTATTTTCGAGATCATCATGACTCAACACTATAATTTCTGATGTGTACATACATCTTTGCAATATTATTAGAAGTTATTAATGCATTGATTTTTACATGAAAAAAACGAAATAATTTTAAGGCACAAAAATTGTGTTATCGAACTTTCATCATTTCAAATCATAGCATTTGAAGTTTTAACAGATAACCTAAAGGATGGATGTCCTATAATCATTAACTTGGTGAAAAAAAAATGAAAATATCGAAAGTATTTCGATTCTCAGATTATGTGAAGCAACTTTTTTGAACATTTCTTAATTTCATAGAACCATAATCGCAATAAAAATACATTTGAAAATGTTCAATTTTGACATTTAAATATTAATTTTTTTTATTTGATTATATATGAATATCTACAAGATAATATTTACATTTATGACTAGAACAACAATTTGACATAGAAAATTCTTTAAAGCTCTGAAAACATCTTTTTAAGTTCATCAAAAATTTGTTTTGAATCTGAATGATTTTTGTATATATCAAGTGAATTTTTGATTGCACGAAAACTACTTTGCAAATCACCTTGCTAAAAAAAGAATCCAAGCATTCAAATATTTCTCAAAAAAAAATAAATATTTTTATTTACTTGATACATTGATTTAGCAAAATTATAATATGGTTCAAACATATGTGGTGCAAGACTTTGAGCTGTTTGCAAATAACCTCGACCCTTAACAAAATAAAACAGAAACGATTAATTTTAATATTATATTTAAAAATAAGACTCTTATACTGTTTCATAATTTTCTCTTTGTAATTCCACTAAACCTAAATTGTTATATGCTTCAGCATGATCATTATTATAAACAAGTGCTAAACGAAAACATTGTATTGCAAAATTTATATCTGTTGTATACTAAAAGTAAATATTTTCAATTAAAATAAAGATTAGGTATATATATATACTAATGCCATGTCACCAATATTATACCAAATATCTGCTTGGTCTTCATCTAAAGTTGCATTTGCTAAAGCTTTTAAAAAACAAGTAACAATCATATCGTATTGTTGTGCATGAAAACAACATAATGCTATATTAGTAAATATTGATGATGTTGTTACACCCATTTGTAAAAGACGACGATAATATTTTAATGAAATTTCAGGTTGATCATTATAAAAATGATTTGCTGCTATACATGCTATTGCTTCAATATTTGTATTGTTTAATTTTAGTACTTGTCGATAGTATTCTATACTTTGTGGCATATCATTAAGACCCTATGAATGAAAAATTCGAAGGAAAAAATCATTTGCATTTTGGTGAGTTTTTAACAAACTTCATGAATACGTGCAATAGCTTGAACTAAATATGGTTCATATGGAAATTTTTCTAAACCTTCTTGTAGTTTACTTATAGCAAGTAATGGTTGATCAAGTCGAAGATAAACTTTGGCTAAATATAAATATGTATCAACCATAGGTTGAATCTCTAATGCAAGAAGATATTGTTTTTCACTATCACGAAACATGTCTAAACTAAAATCAATCTAAAATAAGTTTTTATATTCAAGAATAATTAAATACATGCTTACCGATGATGACATTTACCAAGTTGTACTAACCACCACCAATCTTTATTTTGTGTTATTTCATTAGCAAGTGTAGCTAGTTGAAGTGCCTTTAATAAAAAAAAAAAAAACAAAAATTAAAAATTATAACTTTTCATGTATTTAACAAATTCATACTGTTCGAATATCATTAGCATGATAAAATAAATGTTCAAAAAGTGGTCGAGCTATAGCCTGATTTTGTGCATATTTCGGTAGATTAAGTCGACCTACTTGAATAAATGGTCCATCAGGTGTACTTAACATTGAAGCCTAAAGAAAACAAAAATACAACGCGCGTAAATTAATTTTCACATTTTATTTAATTGATTATGAGTTGTATCTCAAATACAACAAATACTTCTTCATCTCAACAAACATCGACAAATGATCATAATCAAAAAACATCAAAAGTATTAAATGGTTATTTGAAAGATCATTTTAATGTATCATTTGTTGACTGTAAATGTTGTTGTGATGCAAGTAAAGAAATTTCAAAATGTCAAAATGGCTCATTAGAATTTTTACGTGATATTCAAGAATATATTAATTTGCCTGAATATCGTCTTAATTGTCGATGTATTTGTGGTGACAATGAACAAAATAATACTCCGATTAAATTTGGAATTAATTTAACACCAGCTAATGACTTAAAATAATTTAAATACTCTTGTTTTTTTTCTTTTCTTTTGAAAAATTCACTTCGAATATTTTTTTAAGAGATTATGAAATTTTTTATTTTTAATTACTTACTGTTCCAAGTCGAACAAAACGGCCGGTATTTGTTGTTACTGGTCTTGCTGTAGCCGCTGTACGAGCAGTTTTTAATACATTTTCCATACTTTTACCAGCTTGTGTCGATTGAGTATTCAATCGAAGCATACCAGTTATTGGTCGACCAGACATAGTCATGGGTCTCATTGCTGGACTTGGCCCACTTATTCCAGTATTTGGATTAGCTGTTGGTTGTCGCATTGATGTACCAGGCATAGGTGCTTGATGAAATGCATTTTCATCTAACATGTCAGCAAGACCTTCATCAGCTACTTCAGTTTCATCCACATATAATTGTTCTGTTAATGCACGCATTTTTAGTAACCATGCTACCTAAACTTTCAAATGATTATTTCTACAAGTCTTTGACTGATTCACGACATAGAACGAATGGTTACGATAATCACATAGACACATATATAATGGATTTACTTGATCATTAGGATTTTTTTCTAGTAAACGAGTTGTTATTTCGACACATAGTTCATATTGACGACGATGAAATAAACTCATTGCCTGAAATAATGGATCCATATCTAGCACAATCGTAATAATAATTAGTTGTTATTCTAATTCATAAATGCTTCCATTACTCGAATCACATTTTCATTCGTTGCTTGGCAAAACAGGCATATGGCGACATCGATCTAAAAACATGGCTACATCGACGAATGATTGAAAAAGGCAACGTCAATGGCAAATTATGATGATGTGTTCGTAATAAGCTGATTGGTTGATTTAACAGCTTTTTGAAACGTGTTTGCGTGTATATTTCAAGTTGAAATACTATACAAATCAATTCAACTAATCTTTGATATTTTTCTTTTTTTTAGACAATGCTAACCGCATCGTTACGTATTTCATTCTTATTAATAGCTTTTATTCTCAAATACATTCATTCTAATGAATTAACATTTGAATTACCTGATAATGCAAAAGAATGTTTTAACGAAAAACTTAAAATTGGTTCAAAATATATATTAGAATTTCAGGTAACGAAAAAAATAGTTTTCGTATAAAAATAAATATTTATTTTGATGATTTATTACATAGGTTGTAACCGGTGGTAATTATGATGTTGATCTTGAATTAAAAAGTCCATCGGGTAAAACTTTATATCAAGTTGCAAAAAAACAATATGATCAAATAGAAAAAACTGCTGAAGAAGATGGAGTTTATGAATTTTGTTTTAGTAATGAATTTTCAACATTTACTCATAAAGTTATTTATATTGGTTTGTATAGAAGAAAAAAAACAAAAGAAATATGATTTTATTATTATTATTATTGTAGATTGGAGAGTTGATGGTGATCCTGAGCATGAAATAACTGGTGCAAGTCCACGTGTAGCTGAAGGTGCATTAACAATGGTCTGTTAAAGAAAATATTTATTGTTTTTTTAAATTAAAAATATAATGTTTCTGTTTGTCTAGATCGAATCGAAAGTGAGTAATATTCATCGAAATCTTGAAACATGTATTGATTATCAAACACATCATCGTTTACGTGAAGCAACTGGTCGTGCTCGAGCTGAAGATTTACAAGAACGCGTACAAATATGGTCATTAGGACAATTTATTTTAATTATAATTGTAGCTATTGGAACTGTATTATTACTTCGTTCATTTTTTACTGATAGAAGAACATCATCGAATATGTCATGGACAAGATGAACAGTTGAATTCGTTTTTTTTATATACAAGATGGTGATTAATATTTGTGACCGATGATTCCTTTTTTTTGCACTATACTATTGTTGTTAGTTGTCATTTTCATTTTTATTGTATAGTTCAATTTTTTTTTCTTTTGGTTCTAATAAGATCCGTTATCTCTTTCTTTTGGTTCTCACAGTTTTGAACAGCTAAGCAATTTACCACAAAAAAAAACAAAAATCCTTTATTTCATTGTCTTGTTAAACTTACTTTTTTTTTCTTTTGCTTCTTTGTTATTATTATTACTATTATCATTATTATTATTGTCATGTGAACAAAAAGAATTTGGTTTTTTTTTATGACTTGAATCTAGGCATGGATTGGTTATACGAAATAGATGAACAAAAATGTCCATTTTTTTCTCATTTCTTTGTAGATTATATCTGACAATCGTAACTATTTTTCTTTGTTTTATTGCATTTGACTTTTATAATCTAATAATTTTTGTTGTTCATATAAGAACAATCGACGATCGAACCAAATTATTGCCTCAAATGAGAGCCAAACGCTGTATAGGCACAAACAAACAACAACACCCAATGAATAGATATAAATTTGTCATCACAATAATAACACATGTAAATAATAAAAATCATAAAAGCAATTAGATGAGACTAACGAAAAGAACGGCTTGACTTATATTTATTTGAAGTACTAATAAAGCATGAATTACAATAATTGTTTTGCTTTTTCTCTCGTCTCTATAGGAATAACATTGGTATTAAATGATCAATGGTTTACATTCTTGGTTTGTAATTTGTTGATATCTTCCTTTTTTTTTCATTATTGAAGTTTAAGAAAAAAAAGTAATTGTAGCGATTTGATTTTATACTATATTCTTAGACGACAAAAAGCGGACGTTTTTATTCTTATCTCAACTCTTTTCTTGCTATGATGTTGATCGTTTGTCATAAATCTTTTAAGTGAAATTATTAAATGTTTTTTTGTTTTCTTCATATTACATCCGTAGAAGTTTTTAATTGATGTTGATGACGATTTTTTAATGCTGCCTATAAACAATATTAATCCTTGTTTCAAATTTATTTTTATTCTTATTTTTTTTGTTTTCGACGCTTTTTTTTTTACTCTAATGAAATTTATACAGTTATATGTATCCAATGATCTTGAACTCATAAATTCCTCGGTTCTCTCGATAAAGTCTTCATAGAACAGAAAAAAGAAAAAAGAAAACGACCCGCCGTCCGAAAAATTCATGTTCTTTCGCCATATACACAGTTCTTCTTTTCTTACGTAGCTAACAACAAGCGACGCATCGACCGAACGAGAAAGAAAAAAAAGAAAAATCTGTTATTGTTGATGCTGGTTTACCCGTCGTTCGACTTGACTCCTCACAATACATTTATTTTTATCTCTCTTTGCATCTTTGATTACCTATAATACAGTACTATTTTTCTTATAATGAATCATAGATATAATGATACCTAATAACATCTACGGTTAGTAAGTCTAAAAAGTTTTCATTTGTTATTTTTTTGAGTACGATTTAGATTTATAGTCAACAAGCTTGTTTATTGATACAGATGTGATTAATTATATGTATATAAATATCTATTTCCTTTCTATTTAGATACTAGCGAAGAAATGCATGGATCTTTAACTGGTTCACATCGTCGATCATCATTAAATCATAATGAATCAGATGTATTATCATCATGTGAACATACACTTCCTGATGATCAACATATAAATAAATTTTCCAATGCAGATCATCATCACATTAGTTCATCATCAACAAGTGATAAAAAAAATGCATCTGTACATCTTGGCGATGTAATTGAAGATGATGAAGATGGAAAAGAACCAACATCATCGATAACACATTCAGCTGATTTTTTTCGTTGGACACATGGCCATCGTCGTGTTATGTTAACATTCGGTACAATATGTCTGTTTGGTTTTATGACCGGTGTTGAATATGCAGTTATTTTACCAACTGCATTTGATTATGTTAAAACAATGACAAATATTAATGTCTATGTTGGATTAATCCTTTCTTCTTATAGTATATCCGGTTCAATAGCTGGAGTAATTATGGGAAAAATCTCTGATATGACCGGCAAAGTTAAAATTCTTATACTCATATCAAGTATATTTGAAATAGGTGGAAATATTCTATATTTTGTTACCAATAATATTCATATTGTTCTATTGGGACGATTGATTGCTGGAGTTGGTTTAGGTGCTGTACCACCAGTAAGAATTTGGGTTTTTTTATTTCTTGGATGGTTTACTAGTTAGTATTTTTTATGTTCATCAATAGATTCTTGCGGATGTAGCCCACCGTACAACAGAAAAAGATCGTACCAAAGCGATTTCTATTATTCTTGGATGTCGACAACTTGGTAAGTACAATTGATTTAGTTTGTATCATTTTGAGAAATCTATCATCAAAATATAGAAATTGTATAGATCAAAAAAGAAAATAATTTTTTTGTCTTATGTCAAATAACTAATCGACAGATTTAAATCATGGGTGCCAGCTTTTGCCAATGACATTTTATTTTTGTATGTCTTTCTTTAGGTCTACTAATTGGTCCATGTTTTACACTTCTTGTTCGTATGATGAACTTTCATATAGGTCGGTTCTCTGATTATTATTTTTTTCTTTATAAAAATTTAAACATGATCAATATTAGGTTCAGTTCATGTGAATCATTACAATGGCCCAGGATTTTTAATGACATCTATATGGTTAACACTTCATATTGTTTGTTGGTTTTGTTTTTATGATCGTACTCCATCAACAACAACAGGACCATCAGCATCAAATGATTCTCCTAAACATAAATATACACGATCTGATCATCCATTAAGACAAGAAGAACAAAAATTATCATATAAAGTTTATTTGGATCAATATATGCACATTGAAATGTTTGTTTTATTTTGTGTTACATTTATAGCTTATTTCAATCAAACAGCATTAGAAACAATTGTTGCTGCATTCACAGAAAAACATTTTAATTGGAATACATTTCATACATCTATATTATTTGCATTTGCTGGTTTAGAAATTATTTGTGTGTATCTATCACTGGTATTCTTTCTATCAAAACGATTTGAAGATAGATTTCTACTTGTCTTTGGTTTTATATCATTAACACTTGCTTGTACAATAGGAACTTTTTTCACTTGGGCATCACATTCATATGGTTGGTCCGGTCAATCAAGTACTGGCGTTATTGATAAACGTTTATTTTTAATGTTTATTATTTTCGTTGCTCTTGATTTACTTGGTTTACCATTTTTAGCAGCTACTAGTGTATCATTATTTACAAAATTAACTATTAAAGAATTACAAGGATTTTCACAAGGTATTCAACGATTAATTATGGGCATTGGAACCATATGTAAGTATACGACAGTTGACAATGTTTATTAATTTATACAAGTATTGCAGTCGACTGTTCTAAAAACATACAGACTTTTGTGTACGAAACGTTATATAATGATGAAAAGTGCTAATAAGAAAATCGACACATTTGACAAGAAACTTCATCATATGATAAAGGGCTGAGGAGATATATATATAAAGCATAGCTTAAAATGATACTGGTGCAAGTGATGATTCGTTTGAGATAACAACTTTTTACTATAATTATTTTTGTAACATCCCACTTTTTGATACTAACACAGTTTTAAATTTTGATCTGAAACATTGACTTCATCAAGAGATGTATCAAACTAATTGGTTTACTAACGTTTCATGATTTTTGAACAAATTAACTTTGAGATATGAATTTTTCAAAATGTACTGATCATAAAAAAGCATCTTTTGAAGAGATAATAAATCCAAACATTCTGAAATTATCAGAAAAAACATGTCTAATTACGACCTTGCTATCGGCCTACATTAAGAGCAATATTCTAAAGCTTGAGTTTAACAAGAAAGTAGGGTACTAAGAGAAAATTATACTAAAAACCTAATATATCAACACAATCATAACTTATGTTCACATTCTTTTAATCATCTTCTGCTTTATGCTTTTCTAATGTGTGATCGAAATCCGAGCTCAGAAAACTGTTTATTGCCTGAGAACATTGTCTCGTTAGATTTATTATTTCTATGGGAAATATATTATCTAGTGATACAACTAGAACAAAGTTTTAGAGAAGGCTTACGAGGGAATCTTTCCAGATGGTAAATCATTTTTCGATCGCGACAATATTCATTTGATGAGTAATAGAAAAGTCTAGAATGTTTTGCTTTTCCTGACCTTCATCTTCAAGGTATCGAAGTTTTACTGAGTTTTTCAAGAAAAAAACTGTGGTCATGTGGAAAACCGAGTTTCAAATTCGAGTATTGCATGAGTAAAGCTCTCCATGAGATGAGTTCATTGGGAATTTTTAACTTTTCTAGTATCTCCTATCTTCAGATATTCAACATTCGAAATTCTCTCATGCATAAAAGCAAATTTTGTTCATATAAAAGAAATACAAGAAAAACTAAAACTTTCACAATCAACTAATCTCATTAAGGACATTGTTCATGGAATAATTGAAGTCGAAAATCGATTTTACATGTGAACAGAACTAGCTATTGAAAAATCTAGCAAAATTTCGATGTATCGGGAACGGAGGTTCAGAAAATAAAACCATTCTAAGCATTTCTATTTACTCATCAAATCAACATTGTCTCAGTTGAAAAGCAATTTGACATTCGAAGAGGTTCTCTTGTCAGCCACCCTGATCGTATCGACAGAGGGAAGATCATCTTGCCATAAGAATATAAAATTAAAATGTTGTATTTATTTTTCTTTCTTTTCATAGTCGGTCCAATATTTGCATCTTCTCTTTTAAATCGTCTTCATATTATGATGACAACAATGCTTGGATTAACAATATTTACCCTTATTGCATTATTTATTGTCCTTAAACGTTTACGTCCATTATCACAAAAACCAACATCAGATGAAATAAAAGATGCAAATAATAATTTAAATAATACTGCATCAATGGAAGATGACAGTGATGAACCAGCATTACCATTATCATCAAAAAATTGTTATGTTACACTTGTTCAACATGATGATGAACAAAATGAATATTTATATAATAAAAATTCTAAATATAATTCATTAACAAAACGTTTATCAAATAGTTTAACAACTAATCTTGATTCCCAATTACGTTCATCAACAAATAATACACATCGGTATGATACAAGCTCAACTAATGTACTCTATGTATCAGATGAACAAAATCGACCATTAAAAACATAATTGGAACAAAAAGAAAAACATTTTCATGTATTTCCTTGATGAATTTAAAATATTCTTCAAACTTAAATATTATCTAGTCACTATAATGCATATTTCTTTTTAACAAAGTATCGTTTCTGTTTTCGTTGTGTATATGCTCAAAAGTTGGTTTTTTTTGTGCGTTACTAATCAAACATGACAGGTTCGACTTGTTGATGATGATACAAAGATTTAGCAACGGTTACATAATCAAACAAATAATCTTAAGTATTCACAATGTATAGCGTGATGTTCTTTTATATGTAATGCTTTTTCTTTTCTTTCTTTTTTTTCGTGAAATGAAGAATTTTTTTGAATAAAAAAATTTCAATTAAATATTCAGCTTTTGATATCATTGTTTTCAATAAAAAAAAACAAAAGAAACTGATCAAGTAGTTCAAAGTAATTGATGTTTATGTCCTCAATAACCTTCTTCAATAAAATTTCTTTCATAGCATTTTATTGTTTACCCTAGTCAACATCCATGATTCATTAGATAAAAAAAATATCATTAAATCCAGACTTGCTGTTGTTTATTTTGTTGGAAAACATGTGGACCAGAAACATACCAATATGGATATTTATATTTGTCCTCCGTTAATGTCAAGATAAATTATTCGGAAAACATTTTACGATATAGACTAAGACTAGTAGACACATGCAGAATAGAATAACTTTGCACTGGTGTTCTGCAATCCGATCGGGTGCTCGCCATCCAACTCGACTTGGAAATTAATGAGATCTTGACATGTCAGACTATTTTTACTTTTTCAAGCGCGATATTGTTTTACTGCAAGAATTCATTTTTTCTTTTTCAATGAAAATTTATGTACAGATGATGATGAACTATATGATGAAGAAAACTGAATACATGAAAAGAAAGATAAATTATCGAAAAGGTGAACATATATTATTGTAATTGAAAAAGCATGAATGTATAGATATGGTGAAAATTATCCGCGGTAATTTGCTTTTTGATCGAACATAGTCAAAATATAGACTTTTTCAGATTTGGTAAATACCAAAGCAATCATCATGTCATCTAGTATTTCACATTATAAAAATTAACGTTATTGATTGAGTCGTTTTTGCATACGAGATTAATGTTTGAAAATTATGCATGTTGTAGACACTAAAGCTATTGATATGATTGAAATAACAATGATATTTTTTGTTCTTATTAATTTGAAGAAATTGATTTATAAAGTCGTTAGATGCTTTATAGTATTTTCTTCGCAATGAACAAGTTTCAGATTCTCTTGGGCGTGATGTTACGAAGAAAACATTTAGTTGACTCAGTAGGAAGTCAATTACATGTGTGCATCAACCACAAAGAACGACTGATACGGAACTAACATCATTTTTCAATACAAAGTATCCTTTGACATTTCTGAGAAATATAACATTTTTGTCTATTATTTTAAAGTAAAGTATTGTCATTGAAGTAGACTCTTAAATATTTTAACCACAGCTATCGAACAAAAATAGAAAATATCTATTATTTTCATTGTCATGATCCGAAACTTTAGATTAACAAAATCTATTTATGCGCTATAATTGCATTGTGAAGATAATAGTACTAACATATCACTTATTCTTTCCTATATGTAATGACTTTATAATTAAATTTTTTCGAAACCAAGAAGAACGAACAATATTACCATTATCAAAATCATACACAGAATTTTTGCATCTCACACATGCATAGTTTTCAGAAATTAATCTCGCAGGCAACACAGACCCAATTCATAACATTGACTTTTATCGTGTAAGTACTAGATAACGGGACGACTATTTTGATACTGATCGAATCTTAAAAAACTTTTATTTTGACTATCTTGGATCAAAAACAACTCCTACGGAATAACTTTTGCCGTATCCAAGAAGAAATTAAATAGTATACTTTCTCATATACAGTAAAAGTTTGAACACTGTACTATGACTGTAATAGTATTTATCGGATGTCAATTTGTTTCCGATGGTGAAAAGTTGTACCTGTCTAAAGCATTGCCATATATATATCTATTTACCAGCCGTTGACCTAAAACAATGATTATACCTATGAAAATCGCCAAAAGCAAACATGAAGCAGACTATTATCAAAGTTTTTGTTAGAAATAGAAAAATATACACAATTTTTATAATTTGCTTTGTACGACAACATTCTATCTGTAACGTCAACCGCATGATACATTGACACTAGTCGATCATTGATAATTTGAAGTATTTTACAGAAAAAAGTTGAATCTAAAAAGCTTTACAAAACATACACCGACTTCGAATAATTATTGATAATAATAATAATAATAATAATAATACTTCAAAAACTTTACCTATAAACAGAATATATAATCGACTGATTCTTTATTAGCTAATTGAATCATCTCTTTGATTAACAAAATCATCGAAGATAACTTTTGACATTGTTCAGTCATTGAATTATATTTAACGAATCAATACGAGACCACACACACACACACACACTGTTAAATATTTATTTATGACAATTAATTATAATCCGGATTACATAAAATTAGAATAAATAATTATATATATATATATAACGAAATTGAATCAATCGTTATTAACTAAAAATATGTGTTAATAAATTGAACACAATATTATCCGAATGATTTAATTTTGATATAAATATATATATATATATATTGAAAAAAAAGTACGATCAACTTACAATCGCAAATTATATACATATATATTTTATTTGTCTTACATAATAATGTAGAACAAATAAACATGAAAAATTAATCATTCAAATTAAAAAGAAAAATTTTTCGTTTTCTTTCTATTTGAAGATATGTTATAACCAAAAATGTTTTCTTTTTTAATCATTCTTTTACCTTTCATGTTCAAGAGAGCAAAATAACATGATGTATTAAATTGTTCATTCAAAAATAAAAATTTCAATCAATCATATTTTTGAAATTTATTTACTATATTTTTGAGTGAACAACTGTAAAAGAATGATATAATGAAAAAAATTATACTTATTTATTTGGTGGAAATATTTTTGGATAATATTGAATAAGAGCATCAATACCTTTTTGAATAATAATCATTGATACATCTTGAACAACATCATTTTTAACTTGATTATTGTTAGGTAATGTTGATGGAGGTGTTGCACCATGTACAAAACCATTAATATTCAATGATGCTGCGCCTGACAATCCATTATGATTAGTAGCTTGTTGATGTTGATTTAAACTTTCAATTTTAGCAAAGCAACGATTACATTGTCCACATTTATATTCTGCTTCATGATGACCTTTAGCTTTTTTATGTTGAACTAGTCCTTCAAGTGTTCGAAAACTTTCGTCACATATTGGACAATCAAATAAATGATCTTTAGCTTCTTGATGTTGAATTAGTCCTTCAAGTGTTGGAAAACTTTCATCACATATTGGACAATCAAATAAATGATCTTTAGCTTCTTGATGTTGTCTTAAAGCTTGAATAGATTCAAATTCACTTTTACATTTTGGACATTGATGGGTTTTTTTTTTTGATATACTTGATCGAGATGATTTAGGAGGTGGGTTTGAACGAATTGGTGATGGATCTATTTGACGTAGATGACCACTATTATTTTGATTATTCATTCGATATGGTTGTGGTATTCGTGATCTTATTTCATTTGTTAATATTTCTGAACTACTAATAGCTCCATTGACTGCTTGTTGTGTAAATGATTCCCACGGAAAATGTGCATTTACTGTTGCTTTTAATTCTTCTTTTGCTGGTTTATTATGAATAACAATAACATGAAATCCAGCTTGATGCCGAAGATCACTTAATTTTCCAGCAAAATCAATATCACCAGAAATAAGTACAATTGTTGCCGGAGGATGATGAGCACGTTCAAAACGATCTAATTCAAGCATTATTTGACGATCAACTGCACCTGGTTTACGATCGGGTACATGAACAATACGAACATTAGCATGAAATAAACTAAGTTGATTCTCTTGTGATATTGTTGTTGTATTACAATAACATGAAAAACTATATTCTCTTAAACCAGCTTCAATAACTAATTTTTGTCGAATACGTTGAACAATATCAAAAGGTTTATGTGCTTTTGGTATAGGAACATTTTCAATATCCCAGAAAAAACTTATTAGACCATCTCGTCGTGATACTATTGGTGGTGTTTGTAATGGAATGGGATTAATAATTGGAGGTGTGGGTATTGGTTTTTTTTTCTTTTCTATTTGTTTAGGTGTTGCAGGATGTCGATAAGGACATTTAGTATCGCGACATACTTTTGGCCATTTAAAACAATTGTTCGTTTGTGCAGTAGCTTCTTGACAATGGCGATAACGGCATTTATCATTTAATTTACAGTGACCATTTATAAAATACATACAATCCGTAAATGTTTTTAGATCAACGTCAGAATTGCTAACTACAGCCTTAGCCATGTTGAAATAAAAATCTGAAAAGAATATTTATTCTTTAACGTTTAAACTAATTACTCTACAATAGAGTTTAAAAAAAACCGAAAGAAATAAGAATAAAGAATTGATTTATAATATATAGACTAAACTATTCGTTAGCAATGTGATGGAGTACTAATATACAAACGAAAATATGTTCCTGCAAGCGAATGAAAAGTTCAAAACTAATTTCAAAAAATATAAATCCTTCATCTGAATTTCGAGATAATGATAAGACAAAAATCATTGTTTCGAAACTTCCAAAACCGGTTTTATGAGGAAGTGTTTTTAAGTTCGATCTTGCTGAAATTTCTACCATAGATACAGTTCATACCATAGAACTTATTCTTAAGTTTTCGTTTTTTTTTTCTCATATGGTTAGAAAGAGATATTCATCAACTACTTTTTAATTTATAGTCAGATGATAGAGTCAACTTTTTTTTCGCGTGCTTATGCTAAAAGAACATATTTAGAAAAATAACTCTTACAATACTCAACTTTTATTGGTCTAGTTTGTCGAGTTCATGGGGAATTTGAATTTGCGGCAAATTCAAAATGCTTATACCGCTATAGCGGTATAGTGGTATAAGGATCCTTATACCGCTGTATCTCTATAGCTTCTTTAAAGACAAAGAAATCTCCTACCGAAGGGTACAGCCACCTTAAGGGTAGCCCTTCAAAGATACCACCTTCACGGTACCTTTTCAAGGGCACCCTCAAGGGACCCTCCTTACCCTCACTTTGTTCTCTCTCAAGGGTACCCTCCCAAGGGTACCCTACCAAGGGTACCCTCCCAAGGGTACCCTCCCAAGGGTACCCTCCCAAGGGTACCCTACCAAGGGTACCCTACCAAGGGTACCCTCCCAAGGGTACCCTACCAAGGGTACCCTCCTCACCCTCACTTTGTTGTCCCCCAAGGGTACCTTCCTCATCCTCAAGATGCTTCTCTACCTCTATATAATGAATTTGTCGCAAATTCATTTTTTTTTAAAGAAAATGAATTTGCCGCAAATTCAAATTCCCCATCATATGAGTTTGTCTTATCGAGCTTCGAATAAATGAAAAAGAAAAGATTTAAAACTTTATGTTCTTGTTCAAATAAAAAAATGAAAGCATTTTTAGCTTATGAATTTTTTGTGATAGAATAATAACTGTCTTCGCTCACAATTTAATACTTCAAAAATTTAACAAATTGATTCTTTTCTTTTTTAAATTNTTAGAATTGAACAAATCCTGTAAAACTGCTTTTGTACCGAACACAATTAACTCTTGATGATGTATTAGTAAGTAACTTTGTTGTGCAATGAATGATGTAAAACAATCAGCATTGTTCTTCTTCGTTCTGTTCTTTTTTCATCTTTTGTTCATGTTTTCCATCATGATATGAGTTTTTTGTTTTCAAACAAGATGCAAGTAGAAAGACGATCGCTTGTTATTTGCGTACAAAGAATTATGTTTATTAGATTTTTTTCACAACAAGTGATTGATCAATCACGATTGGAATTAATATTACGACAGTCAAATTGTGTTTACTGATAATGAATACCAATCTATTAGAACTAGACTTTTTTTTGTAACTGACAGTGATCTATCAATGAGAAATAGGAGCAGCATCGAACAGTTACTTTGTAAATGAGTATACTAATCATAGCGTGGATGTTTATGCTGGTCATTTTTCTACTCACACCACCAACATGCGCAGTTCCACCCCGATATCCAACACATGCTATATCAATAAGGTATTGCATATTCTTTTGCAAAGAAGCACAATGTAAACATACTTTGTATAAAAGAAATGCTATTTAGGCAGAAAAGAAAAAACACTATAAAATGTTCTTCCCTTGTTTTCTATTTCACAAATGAGAAGCAGATGGCAGATAGAGAGAGAAAATGTTGCTACAATAGCATCTAGGAAGTTCACAAAGTATCGTGACAATGATTAGTTTTTCCTTTGTACTCTTCCTTTTGTGTGATAAGAATGCAAATACTGTCTGTTCAACATCTCAGGACGTTCAGTTTGTACTCTATTCAATCTGAAAGTCAAAACTTCAATCTTTCGTGAAGTAAAAGAAAATTAATTTCTTATCATGATTGTATTAAATCAATTAATAGAAACAAAAATACAGTTAGATATTGAATACTGTTTCGACTATCTATAGGTGGATATTGTCATATTCTTTAGTTACTTGAGGGCATCAGTGTAGCTGCGAATGTGAGTGAAAATGTAAAGATGCCATCCCTACCAGCATCCTCACAATGTTACCAGCAGCCAGGCATATCCAATGCTACACCCACCTTATTTATTCACACAGTTTATCCTAAAATTCATATATGTATATACATATGTTTGATTCTAAATTTTTATTTAATTTCGATTGCTTTTTTTAATGATGTATTGTAAATGCATCGTCAATATTTAATGATTAGACAAAAAAGAAATAGTGATATTCAATTTTTCTTTTATCGATCATTTACCTTGCGCTCTTATTGGCTACTTATTTTCTTTTAATAAATCTGTTCTCATGCATATTTTTACATCAATGGACTCAAAATAATTTAAGCGTACATAGTAATTTTTTGTTTTTTTTACATTGACAATAGCACAGTCTGTTTTTTTTTCTTTCAACTTTCAAATAAACTAAGGATGTGGGTGTAGATGTTGTGCTTTCTCAGACTAAGGCCAACGCCCACCTATATCCACAGCCGCACTCCTGTCTCACTCATAAAATTGATATTCACACAGAATGCTGTAAAGACCCATGTTATAAATTACTTCCGCCAAATAATTACGCATGATAAAGGGCACCACTTAGACTTTAATTTAGAGTTAAAGTGACACCGTTAATCGTGATTTTGTTCTCCGTGTACGAGACAACAGTTCGAATTTCAATCCTTCAATGGCAACATTTTCATTACATCGTAATTATTTCATAAAACAAAAGATCGTATCTTGCAGTTCTGAGTAATTTTCTAATCAATTTAGTCGGCATTTATTCATTGTTGTCATCGCCCATATCATTATGGAAAACTATGTAGGCTTCATATTCTTTTAGAACCTGTCACTGCCAATAAAATATGAGTTATATATTCAACACGTCATTTAATCGAAATTAATGTATCTTACCTCGATGGTTTGAATATCATTAGTTATTCATATCTTATATCCAACGTTGTCTACTGTCTAGTTACGTTTTTATAAGATCTTCGAATTTTTTATCCATTTTACTAATCATATTTGCTCTTTTTGAAAAGTAGACATTCATATCATATACTAGCAAAAACCTTGATTGAATAAAATCATTTTCTAGCAAATTATATTCGAAATGAAAAGTTCAGAAAATTTCGTCTCATTTATATCATAAACTTTTCCGTTGATTGAAACAAAATCTTTTCTGTCTTGATCAAAAATTGATTTTCATATTGTTCGATATATTCCTTCTCTACTGGACATTGAACAGCGCTATGTAGTTACGTTTGTTTAAGCTCGCAATTTTTTTATGTGAATGAGCATCAATATCAAGTGAACAAACGAAAAGTATGTTCAAATATTCATTTTAAAAGAAGCAACAAGTTCAATTCTTATTATGTTTATCAAAAACACAGGTCATAGTGATACAATGAAAAGATAATCACAACAATTATTGTCGTAGATGTTTCAAATGATTGATATCAACAGACTTATCAAAACATGCAAGGCAAATTGAGATGGTCCATGCGAAATCTATGTATAAATGAGAAATGTCTTAACTTTCATCTGTTGTGTTAAGAACATGCTTTATCAATAGATGCTTGTTAGTTCGTTGAATGTTTTTTTTTTCTTATCGATATTAGTAACTGCTGGAGTTAGATTAGTAATCATGCAGTTTATTTAAAATATATATATATTTTTAAATGTTTACGAAGTACAAGTTAGGTATGAAAAAGCTATTAGTGCAATTTTTATAGGATTCAAATGTGAAACACGATGTGCTTAGCAAAATCAATTAAATTCAAAGTTGAAATATATCATTCAACGTCATTGATATTTTGTAGAGTCTGTCAATAATGCTATATGCTGCCTGTGTCTATCGGGTCACGTATGCTTTCTAATGGTGTTTCACAAAAAAGAGAACGAACGTGAAGGAAAAGAAACGTAAAACATAAAGATTTTGAAATATTGTTCTCAGTTGTTCAATTGCCATCAAATAAATTAATCCCATTCTTGATGCGTGGATTGGAAATAGTCCAACAGAAATAATTTTTCATGAAGTTGTATATAATTTCGCATGTTTTGATTACAAGTTTGACGATTGTTTAGAGAATCGATATTAGAACAGAGTAATCTTAACGTCGGTATGATCTCTGCGATGAGTTTGTATAAATATCGTAAAATTTCATTGTGAGCTTCGAGTTTCAGTTCCATAGCACGTTGATTGTTCTGTAATTTTGTAATCACTCCTAGGTACGACATGCTAGTTAAAATTAATGAAGAGTTAATATCCAACTGAGAATTAGAATTCGAGACAGTTTCGGGATTCGACATAGAATTAGAATTGGTCTCATTAGATGTTGAATTTGAGTCATATTGCGAGTCCGATAGAGATCCATTGTTCTTTGGTAACTTATTTGTAATTAATGATATTTTTTTCGCGATTGGTTCACTCCAAACTTTTGAACAATTACCATCGATTCAATCTGTCAACAAATTCAAATTTATGCNGACAGACACAGTGATCGATTCTAGAGTGTACTCACTTTTTGAGTACACAAAAAGAAACAAAAGATAATGTCTTTTTTCTATTCACAAAATTTTTCTTTTATCTATTTTTTTTTCATTAATCAAGATCGACTGGTGCATTGTCAATTAGCTCGTTCATTGATAAAACTAGAGCGTGGACGAAAACAGAACCTATTTCCGTCTGATTATCTTGGCAATAGGTGAGTTAGCCTTCGTGTTTCTTTATGTTTCATGTACCATTTTGTAGCTCGTGAAATCTTCTATCGAATGGTATATAATAGTTGGAGTTTTATTTGATTATGATAGTAAAAGTTTTTTACGAAAGTGAGAATAGGTCGATTTTCCTATAGGAAGCGATAGGGAAAAATGACTATTTTTGCAATAACTCAGGAACGGCTCGACCAATCATGCTCATCTTTGAATTCGACTGAGATATTGTTAAAACTAAACTGTTTAGAAAATTTCATCGTGATCTGACTCTCCTTTCAAAAGTTACCTTGTAAACGGACGGACGGACACGCTGACCGATTCTAGAGTGTACTCACTTTTTGAGTTCACAACAAATTATTTTCATTACGCCAAGTGTCAGAGTAGGAGGGAAAAAATCTTCTTAGCCTAATAATTCTCACCAAGACCTGCTATTTTCTATTCTATGAACTTTTTTCATGATATTCGAGTAGGTCATGCAATCGGCTAATAAAAAATTGTCAATAAATACCACGTTTCAAGGCTCTACCACTGAAATAATAGAGCTTATACGATGCCAATGTTTGATTAAAAGTTTTTTATTTCTTTTGCAATCTATTCTGCTTCGTTATCAATGCATAGAAAAATAAAAAATATCATAACTCATCATTGTGTACACGAGAGGAAGCTGATAACATGTCTTTGTTTAATGAACCAACTCTAAGTTTTTGTCTTTTTTCCTTTTTTAAATAATGGTTTCTCTTATAAATCAAGATTTCTAATGTGTTATTCAAACAATTATCACAACAACTAGTCGGAAGTCTGTGTCTCCTTCTATTTTTCACTTGTCATTTCTTGTTAAGGCAACAATAGCAAGCTAGCAACATGATATCTTCAATTCTCCTTTTACGATTGAACTTGATAAGACTAGTGTAAACCTACAAAGATACTACGCCATCTACTATCCTTATCAAGTAATGGCTGTTTAGCTAGCATTTTTGGTGTGTCTATGACCAGATATTTCATGCTGAAATCAACTATGAAATTTTGACCTGAAATTTCAAGGTGAAAAATTTCATACTTGACTGAGGTTAGTATCGAATGATTTACACGAGGAACAAAGCTTCTAAGAAAATTCGAACATATGATTTTGAGATACCCCTAGGATCCATGAATTCGCAATTCAAGGAAATTTGAGAAAATCAAGAAAAGTAACAGACACACAAAAGGGATTCGCCTTCCCCCTTAACTCAGATAGAATTCTAGCAAATTCTAGAAAATCAAGCAATTCAAGAGAGTGAAAGCAATTCCAGAGATTGAAGGAATTCAACAATCATAGAGTACAGGACGAATCATGGGCCTAAACTGTGATGGAATTGTGGAAATTCAAGGAAATTGTAGAAAATCAAGCAAATCTTCAAATAAATGGACACGTTTCTAGGTGTCTGCACTATTAGTGAGTAAAATAATCTGACAGAAAATGCTATTACGTCTGTTTTCATGTTTTTTTACTTTTGAAAATGGAAAAAATAATAATTGATAAAATAGTCTTTGATAGAACTCTGTTTCACCACTTTCGAATCCAGATAAATCTCATTTAATCATAGTAGCAATATAATACAATGTTGCAATGCGATCATATATATACCGGTCTCCGCTATCCAACACGGCGGACATGTCCTTTTTCTAACGGTAGACGTACCCTTTTTGTTCGTTTCGCCGTTCGATCAACAAAGAAGAATCATTATGGTGTCTTATGGGTGGTAATCATTGCGACATTTTCATTGAATTCATAATTAGTGTCCACTATACAGAGGTTATTTATACAAGAGGAACCGTAAAAAGTGTCCAATATATGAGAGTGTCCAATATGGAAGGTTTCACTGTATATAAAATGCTTTGTCTGCATTGATGAATTAAACAATAGAAATATAGATGATTTATCGACTTGAAGAGATAACTTATGAAATTAGACCATCCAATATTGAATCAAAGTTTCGGATTGTTAGTCACAACTCGCGACGGAATCACAAAAGGTCATCATCACAGAAACCCAACAAATCATGAAATGTAGTTCTTTCATCCATTACTTCGTCACTTTATTAGTTCATCAGTGTGGGTGCGGGTGTGGGTGCGGGTGTGGGTGTGCGCGTGGGTGTCGCTGTGGGTATGGGTGTGGGCGTGGGTGTGGATGTCCGTGTGGCTGTGGTTGTGGGTGTGGCTGTGGGTGTGGGTGTCGGTGCGGTTGTGGGTGTGGCTGTGGCTGTGGGTGTCGGTGTGAATGCGGGTGTGGGTGTGAGTGCGGGTGTGGATGTGGTTGTGGCTATGAGTGTGGGCGTGAGTGTGGATATCCGTGTGGGTGTAGGTATGGGGCCTTCTCAACTTTGTCCGCACTCACACCCACCACACATACCTAGTGTCCTGGGTGACTAATATTTTCGGTCACGATCACGGCGACGGTCACAAAACCAAAATCTTTTCACGCACGTTCACGATCACGATAACTCAGACAATTTTCCGTGAATACGGTCGTGATCACAAACTTCATTTTCGAGTCATGATTACGATCACGATAAATGACCAAAAACAAAGGTTCGTAATACCATGATGACGGGAGCAGTAGCATGGCCAAAGCCCCTATTCCTCCTAAGTCTTCTTTTCCTGAACAGGCTCTATACTTCCCAAGATTCAGAGAAAGACTAAGTCAAAATATTTCAAGATACTGGTCGCAAACACTATCACGGTCACGAATTTTATTATCATTCACGATCACCGTCACGATCACGCGTGATCATGCCCGTGATCGTGATCGTGCCAGTCACACAGGACACTACCTGTACCCACAGCCACAGCCACAGCCACAGCCACAGCCACACCTGCACACACACCCACACCTGCACACACACCCACACCTGCACACACACCCACACCTGCACACACACCCACACCTGCACACACACCCACACCTGCACACACACCCACACCTGCACACACACCCACACCTGCACACACACCCACACCAACACGCACACTCACCCACGCCCAGAATTCCTTCAACTTCCTTGAATTTCTTAAATTTCTTGAATTTCTTAAATTGCTTGAATTCTTTGATTTCCTTGAATTTCATGACAGTTGCGGAGGACATAATTGAAAGATATATGCTTATGTTGAATTCCTGGAATTGCTTACATTTTCTTGAATTGCCAATTTTTGGATCGTAGGTACTGCTGTTCGATATTAGAACTCATATTTCCTCAAATATTGTCTTTAATAGAATTCAATATAAAATCATAACATATGAATAGTTGTGTATCAAAAAGCTTTCCAAGAAATTATAGATATGTTATGTATGATTTAAAAAATTAGTTGTTGGAATCTATTTTCGTTTATATTGCTCTTGCTCTTTGTTAGATAAGCTATTAAACATATTAAATAATTCGATATAAGTATGGCCACAGCTCGTTCAGTGGCAATAATTGGTGGCGGAATCGGTGGTTTGACTGTTGCTAATGCTTTAAAACAGATGGGAATGTCTGTCTCATTTTATGAACGTGCGCCTTATTTTATTCCAACAGTTGCAGCAGCATATGGTCTTCAACCTTATGGACAGATGTCGCTTGCAAATATTGGTTTCAAAGATCAAGTCGAAAAAATTATTCATCCTTTTCATCGATGGCAAATTATTAATGACAATGGTGAAGTAGTGCTGCAACCGATAAACCAGCTGACTATGGAAAACGATTTGGTTATTTTATTGGTGGCGCTCTTCGTTCTGAACTTGTTGATACACTAAAAGAGCCTCTGGAAAAGAATGGTATATTACATTATTCTCATAATATGATTGATATTAAAGAAGACAACGATGGTACTACCATTTCATTTGACAATATAAAACAATAAAAACAAGTTCGAGTTGATATGGTTATTGGTGCAGATGGTATACGTTCAACAGTTGTTAAACAAATCTTTACTCAAACAGCTTCAGCAATACATTCAAAAGAAAATATTTTCTATGGTATCATTGATAATATTGATCAACAAACTTCTATTAATCCAACAAAAACCGCAAAAAATACATTAACACAATGTTTTAATCATAGAGAATTTCTTAGTTATCGAGTTGATAATACTGGACAATTAATGTGGGCTGCTACATATCCATCAGTCACACCTCCATCAGTAAGTGATGATGCTGAATGGACAGAAACGAATAGTCAACGTGACTTAAATCAATTGTTAACAAGATTTCCTCAATCACATCCTGTTCATCAATGTGCGGCAGGAACAGATAAGCAACGTTTATTTCATTTTGGCTTATATTATCGTCAATATCGTAGCGATGGTTGGCATCGTAATAGAATTTGTTTATTAGGAGATTCATGTCATGCAACATTATCTTATGTTGGACAAGGAGCAAATATGGCAATTGAAGATGCTACATCACTTGCAATGTTTAAAAAAATTTAATTTTCAAATGGAACCAGCATTTCAAGAATACTACAAACAACGTTTTAATCGAACGAAAAGTGTTGTAAATATGGTACGTTATCTAGGTTTATTTTTTCATTCAGAAAATCCGATTATTCATTCAATAAGAGAACGTTTGGTACCATGGTTCATAAACTCTGATAAGATCATGACAATGGTGCAAAAAGAATTGTATGAAAATTGTCCTCCCTCGTAAAAATCTTTAAAAATTTAACAATTTTAACGAAATTTCACGAATTATTTTATGTTAAATTGTCCCTAACGGGAAAACATGCGTGAACTTTCGTTAAAAGCAAATTTTTAATGCGTTTTCGTGGCTGTTCCTACTAGAAAGAAGAATATCGGTAAACAGATGATCTTAAATAAACCTCGACACTTTTTTTTTCTTCTAGTTTTAGTTTGACAAAGTTGATAAAATAAACTCGCATCAGAAAACTTCATTGATAACTAAATAAATATTGTTATAAAGACGATGTATATGAGATACACATTCTAATGAATAATTAGAAAAAAGAACATTTCCATGACTGACGACACAACTACGATTGTAAACCATAAATTGTATACGTATTAGCATTACATGATTGGTGTTATTATAACTTATGTTTACGTTTCGCAACGAAAACTCGAAAGAATTGAGCTAAATCTATACTATGGATGGGTTTTCGAGCGAAAATTAGCAGTTCTTTTTTAATTGATTTTCTGTTTAAGATATTGTGGAAACTTGATCATTTCCGAAAAGAATGTAGATGTGGTTGCATATGTATGAGTATGACCGATGAAAGCAACGCATATTCACATCCACATTATCGTTCTAAGCGTTTTCTAGTTGTATTTAGGCATCTTTATGGGCTCAATATAAGTCAAACTGATGAATTACAGTGGAGATAGTTCCTTCGTAAGCCAAATGTTGTCTAGATGATTACGAATACAGTGATGTAAATGGTGCTTAATTTTTGCTACTCCAACAACACTCTAATAGTTATTTATTAGGCATTTTTATACAGATAATCGCGGTCACGAGGAAACGGAGTAACTAACTACTCTGCGATGACTATATTGACATGCATATTTGAATAGTTCATTTTCTTTTGTATTTTGTGTTTTTGAAAACTGAAATTTTCATGAAAATTGTCTTACTGACACGAAACGATACTTAAAATGATTAGAATCAACTTCTTCTTTATTAGTAATCGAATCATTTTTATAGTTTCGTGATTTATTCATTAGGGTGTGGGTGTGGGTGTAAATTTCATTCCTTCACTCACACCCATACCCACACACCTACACCCTACTTTTTCTAACAATAATAAATATTCATTTATTGGAATATATAAGTATATTTGTCATATATATGATTATTTTTACACAAAATCCATTTATCGTTAGAAATATTTTGTTATGTAAATTTTTTCTGACGTATGTTCGATTTTTAAGATTTCAAAAATTAATACTGTCACTTTTATTTTTCTATTTAAATATAAAGTTGAATAATAAATGGATAAATTCATGGACTTTATACCACAATTTGGAAAAAAAAAGCATTTTTTTTCGATTTTGATATTCTAGTTCATGTGATATATTTTTTGAGTTTCCACGAAACTCGAATTAATTTCGAAAATGAATACACGTCCTATACGCATGACTCTTTCTTCAAGATAATAGTGACAAGGGAGACATAGAGGAAATGAGAATATTATTAGAGACACAAGGATCAACGAGTCAAGGAATTTTAATATTTTCGTCCACTATTCAGAGAGCTACCTCACGATTGCGATTCTATCAGCTCTTGACACCCACACACACATGTACATCATTCAGGAAGATACTTCCATCAGATAGAAGTGTGGAGATCTTGATACAAGTCTTCACACAAATTCAGAGAATACCGAGTCAGAGAGAGTGCAAGTGAAGATCATGGAGATGTTTTTTGATTTACGTGTTTATCTGAACATTTCTATGAAAATTCGAGCTATCAAAATATGAATTCAATCTGTACTTTCAGTACAGAGTGTATGTTTACGCTTACTTAAAATTGTAGAAAAGATGGGTGTGGGTGTGGGTGTGGGTGGGTGTAGGTGTGGGGTGTGGGGTGTGGGTGTGGGTGTGGGTGGGTGTAGGTGTGGGGTGTGGGGGGTGGGTGTGGGTGTGGGTGGGGGTGGGCTTGGGGTGTGGGGGGTGGGTGGGTGGGTGCGTTGAACCTGCCCTACTCTTGC